TGGGAAGGCCCCGCCGGTGGGGGACCGCGGGCACAGGTTGGAGGGCCGGCAGACGAGGCGGCTGACGACCCTGAGCGACTCCCGGAGACGGTGGGCGCAGGGGCCTGGGGTCACAGAGTCAGACACAGCTTGGCGACGGAACAACAGTAACGCCCAGTGTAACGCTATTAGGAGTTGGGGCCTTTGGAAAGTGTGTAAGCAGCAAGACAGAGCCCTCCTGAGGGGGGTTCATGTCATACAGGGAGCCCACAGAGTTCTCCAGTCCTCCTCCTGCCACATGAGGATACAGGCAAAGGTCAGCAGTCTGCAACCTGGAAGAAGGTTCTCACCAGACACTAAACCTGGACTTTCCAGCCTTCAGACTTGTGAGAAATAAATTTCTATTGTCTATAAGCCACTAAGAATTTATGCTATTTTCTTGCTAAGATAACCCAGGGCCTATGAATGTGTACATATTTCAAAGTGGGGTCTTTGACGATCAAATCAACACGAAGTCATTAACATGGGCCTTAGTCCAACATGACATAAGACAGGGAGAAACAGGAGAAGATGGCAGTGTACAGATGGAAGCAGAGACGGAAGTATTGCTCCCCAAGCCAAGGAGCACACTTGGAAGAGTCAAGGGAGGGTGCTTTGCCAGAGCCTCCAAGGGAACCCGGCCTTAGCCACACCTTGGCTTTGGGATCCTGTCCTCCACAACTATGAGAGGGTCAGTTTCTGTTTTAAGCCACCCATTTGGTCATAATTTGTTACATCAGCCTTAAGAAACTGTGCCACTCCCCTAGTCCAGGCCCAAGCGTCTTTTAAGACCAGTATTTTCTTCCTCTGACACATCCTCTTAACTGGGGCCAAAGTTATTATGTTAAAAGTTCATACTTTTTTCAAGATAAAGTCCAAACTGTTTTATATTATACAGGTCCTTCTTTCGTAATCTAGCCCTTATCACCATTCTAGCTCCTACTTCTCTTTCATGGGAATCCTTTACTCCAGCCATAAAGGAGGATGTCTGCCAGGCTCTCATGGACCTCTTTTTAAAAAATACTTATTTATTTGGCTGCATCGAGTTGTAGCAGTTTCAGCATGCAGGCTAAGTCGTCCCGTGGCATGTGGGATCTAAGTTTCCCAACCAGGGACAGAACTCACGTCCCCTGAGTTGCAAGGCAGACTCCACCACTGGACCACCGGGGAAGTCCTTCTCTTGGACTTCTTGCTATTTGCTTTTTTTCTGCTAAGAACACTGGAACCCCTTGTTTGCCTAATTCCTACACGTCCTCTCAGTTACAGTTCAAGGTTTATCTCCTTTTGAAATCCCTTCTTTGAAATCCCTGACCTAGAGGTCCATTTTCTGTGTTCATGACACATACCTTTGTTATATTTCTTATCATGTTGAACAAATATGGAATTCTCTAGATCGTGAATTCTTTGAAGTCAGCACCTGCCTGGTGGCCCCAGTACCTGGCATACAGGCTAGAAATAGTAGGGCAACAGGCCCCAGCCTTTCTGGCACCAGGGACGGTGCTTCCACATGGAAGGCAATTCCTCCACAGAATAGGGGTAGGGGATGGTTTTGGTTTTGCCCACCACTCTCCTTCTGCCATGTGGTTTGACTTCTAACAGGTCATGGGCTGGTACCAGCCCATGGCCTAGGGGTTAGGGATCCCTGTAGTAGGGAATCACTACATGTCTGTTGAACAAATAAATTTTAAAAAATGAAAGACTGAATATCTGATAAATTTCAATATGGTCATTTCTCAACTGGGAAAGGAAACTGTGGGGCTGGCGGTGGGGAGGAGGAATTGGTCCTGCCATTCACATTTCATGAAGGGACGAACCATGCGCCAAGTAGCACGAAGCCCTGGGGATGCACCGTGGTAAGACAAAGCCCTTGCTTCCCAGAGCCTTTCACTGTAGGGAGATGGATAACAGCTGAGTAAATAAGTATATTTCAGATACAGACACATGCTAAGAGAAATAAAATGGGGTAACTGCTAAGAAATAAAACCAGGTAATAGCCCCTATTTCGGAGGAGGTGACGTTTGGGATTAGACGTGAATAATGTGCTCAGTGAAAAGCTGTATGGAGGCTGAGCAAAGCCCAAAGGCAGTGAGAGCCTGACCTGTTCACGTAAGAGCAAGAGGGCGAGAGAGGCGGCGGCTTAGGTGCCCGGGGCAAAGGCACGGGAAGAAGTCAGAGACGGAGGCCGTGCTCGGAGCTGGAGGGCTTCACCCACAGTGTCAGGGACCTGGGATTCTCTGCAGATGCAGTGGGTCACAAGTGGAGGCGGGCTTCAGCAGAGACAAGGTACCATCTGACCTAGGTTCTCCCTGGATACGGACAGTAGAGAGCAGAGTGGCATGGAAGAAGCTGGTTAGGCAGCTTCCGTGGTCATCCAGGGGGGAGCTGAAGGGGCGTGGAGGGGGGTGTCCCAGCTTCTCTCCTCAGGTAAGGGCACTGCACAGAAAGGGATGTGAGTAGGTCGTGGGGCCTTTGCTGTGGCAGCAGGAGCCTAGCTTTCTCCTGGACCCGGTAGATAAACAGAAGGCTCCTACTGCATCCTCAGGCTGTGTGGATTCTGGGCTGAGCAGGCCTTCCAGCAAAGACAGAGCGGGGCAGAGGTCAAAAGATTCCTTGATTATGAAGCCAGTCCTTGTTCCTTCTGCACTCCATTAAATGCATATGTTTATACACACTTACTTATGCGTGTGTTGCCCTCCCAAACCACCTTCAGGGAGGCCCAGGGGTGGCTGCCTTATTTTTCAGTGTAGGCTGCTGAGTGAGCTTGCGATCACATCACCATCAATAGAGAGGTCTGACTTACAAATTATTTACTGCTTACTATGGATCATTGGCCACCTCCCAGATAGTCAGAGTGGGCAGTCTTAAAAAAAAAAATTTAAATGAAGCTCACAGTGACTTCAGCATTAACTGCCATTAACCATTGGCATTAGCCGTTAACCTGGCTTCCAGGATTTGTGTCTATTTGAGGCAGAACGCCTGCCGTTCTTGCAGCTGCTGATTTCATGGTTTCTACTTTATAATCACTCTAAGGGACAGGGGAGCAGACTGGCAGAGCTGAGGGTACCCTGTGACTGACTTCACAGCCCTGACAAGGGGAAGGGTACCCTAGTAGGGGAGGAGGGACGGTGCCACAGAGGTGGGCTCAGCTGAGAGTAAAAACACCCACATGCTCTTCTCAACTGCGCCACCCACAAGCAGTGCGACCTTGATGGGCCTAATCCCTCTGAGCCTCAGTTTTCTCAGCGGTAAAACAGAAGAATGCCATCTACCTTACCTGTCCCTTTAATGGTAGGAATGTTGTAAGTGAAATGGTGTGCCCGCGCTCAGTTGCTCAGTTCTGTCTGACTCTTTGCATCCCAGTGGACTGTAGCCCACCAGGCTGCTCTGTCCAGGGAATTTTCCAGGCAAGAATACTGGAGTAGGTTGCCATTTCCTCCTCCAGGGGATCTTCCTGACCCAGGGATCTAACCTGTGTTTCCTGCATCTCCTGCAGTGACAGATGCATTCTTTACCACTGAGCCATCTGGGAAGCCAAGTGAAATGATATTAATATCTAAAAAAAATTTCCTGATACATTTTCCTCTTTTTGGTAATATTCTATCACTGCATCCTATTGATAATATGCCATGAAGGCCATATTGATGTTTGGTATTCCAGAAACAAAATGGGCAGCTACCACCTGTAACCTGGGGAAGGTGAGAAGGAAAATAAGGCAGAGTGGTGAGTTCTCATCTATCAAGAAATGAAAAGAATGCTCTTCTGGACACTACAGAAGAAATTCAGAGAGGATAAGACTTGAGGGTGGGATTGGCGGGAAGATGTTGTTACCCTGTAACCTTAAGCTGAGGTCTAGAAGGATGTGTCAAGGAGTATAACCCCAGACAGACAGTGAAGTGGCTGAGTACAGGGGTTCATTTCCTTTCTCTTCCCTTTTCCAGGAGGAGACTGCCTTGCCAAGTGCTCTGGCACCAGCATGGAGCAGCTCCGGTGGAACTGTGGGCTTAGGCAAAGAGAACCGAGAAGTAGAACCCCGAGAGAGGAAAACCAGTCTGAAAAGTGCACATGACCCCCGGGGTGGGGGCCGAGAAAGGCGGCAAAGAGGAGGGAGCTGGAGGTTCCATCGGGAGGGCGTTACGTGGAGCTGATAAGATCCCTTAGCAGAAGCAGAGCAAGGACTAAGTCAGGGGCCGCAGGGAAAACATGCTGGAGACACAGAGAAGCTACAGAGGGTGGGTGGATCCCAGGTTCAGGGAGCGGGGTGGAGTCATCATGACGCCCCACTGTGCTGAGAAGAGGCCACAGGTTTCATCTGCCATGGGTGTCAGGAGACCCGGGGAGATGGTGCCAGCACATGGATATAAGGGTCTTACCTCCACCCCAGCTGAGAGGTATGTAAGCTTCCCTCTATGCCCAAAAAGGATGGCTTTCCTTTCCATTAGAAAGGTTAGGGATCATCCCATTTTGGCAGAATGGGGGCTTGAAATCAAGATGAGATTGGCTATAGAAAATAATGTCACCTTGTCTGTTGCCCTACTGTGTACTGAATGAAAGTGAAAATCACTCAGTCGACTCTTTGGGACTCCATGGACTGTAGCCCGCCAGGCTCCTCTGTCCATGTAATTCTCCAGGCAAGAATACTGGAGTGGGTAGCCATTCCATTCTCCAGGGGATCTTCTCAACCCAGGAATCGAACCTGGGTCTCCCGCATTGCAGGCAAATTCTTTACCATCTGAGCCACCAGGGGAGCCTAAGCCAGCCCTATTCCACAAGGTACAAAGAGTGGAATTTCCTTTAGGGTCAAATGAGCACTGCAGCCGATGGAGCACTGCCCTTTTCTCACATGCTAGGTCTACTCATTAGCCTGCTTCTCAAATATTCTGCCTGTCAAAAGACCTCCCCTCTCACGTGGGCTCTCCAAACCCTGTGGCATCCACTACATTCACGTGATGGGGCAAAGTACAGATGCTCATGTATTCATACCTTCCCAGGAGGCACAAGTGGTAAACGATCTGCACACGCTATTCTTACACTGTGTATTAGCCTTTCTCTCTACTGGCATTCCGGTACAGTGTCTCTGTCGCCTGCAATTCTGGGGAGAAGCACACACCAGAGCAGCTGGGCAGGTGAGTCCGATTTGCATGGGAAAGACAGAGTTAGGAAGAAACTAGATCTGAGAGGCAAGAGGGCACAGGTCAAGCGGGCAGGGCCAGCTCAGGCTACATACGGAGGGATAATTGAGGGAAGGTGGGGTGGGGGCAGCCGCCAGACCAGTGTGAGGTTTGGAGAGAATTCAGAAAACTTTTGTTATGTGTTATGAAAGGAATTCTGTACTGTAGTTTTTAAGAAACTGTTTTAAGATCATGGGGCCTTCTTTTTGGGTGCCGGTCTGTGGTTCTATCTGAATGCTTCACGGTGCCAGGACAGACTGTGGGGGGCAATTTGGCTTTCTCTGGATTGCCTTAGTGGCAGCTCAGATGGTAAAGAATCCACCTGCAATGCGGGACACCCAGGTTCAATTCCTGGGTTGAGAAGATCCCCTGGAGAGGGAATGGCACCCACTTCAGTATTCTTGCCTGGAGAACCCAATGGACAGAGGAGGCTGGCGGGCTATAGTCTATGGGGTCACAAAGAGTCAGGCACAACTGAGTGACCGACACTTACTCACCTTCCCTGAGCAAGGGGAGCACTCCACTCTCCCTCCTTCTCTGAGATTCAGACAGTAGGCCGAGATCAGAGGGGAGAGTAAGACCACCTCAGGTTTGGAAAGTGCATCTCCTCAGGGAAAGGATTCTCTGCTGCTTCAGAAGGTGGCCAAGAAGAGCTTCTAGAACAGTCCATACCAGGACGCCACTATCTCAGGCCCCTTTGCACAAGATCAAATGTAGTGAGGATGTTGCAATGTCCAAAGTGTGGAACAGATGAGCTGAAGAGTTTGCCGAGAGAACTGAGGATAAACCCTGAAGAAGAGGGTTTATTTTGAAGGATGAGCTCTAGAACACTTGCTTTTGTCCTGGAGGGGTGGTGAAGGAGCAGATCTCCAACTCCTGGCATCCTTTGACCTTCCTGGTAAGGAAGTCACTGTCAGAACCCTCCTTTCAGATAGAAAGCTGCGAGTTCTTCAGCTCTAGAGATCCTATGAAGGACACCTAAAGAATCTTCTCTTCTTAGAAGCAAAGTCAGGCAGCTCACCCTTCACACCTACATGATACAAAGATAATAACAGCAAGATTTTTTAAGTGCTTTCTACCTGCCAGGCCCTGTACTAGGCATTTCAAAAGCATTACATAGTGTATTTAACACTACAGCAAGCCTGCAAGGTGGTATTAGGATCCTCATTTTACCAGGATGTCAGGTAGTTTAGCAAACTGCACCACCAGGAAACAGAGAAGCAGGAATTTGAACCCAGTGATGACTGTCGCAAATCCCTTTCTCTAATCCTCTACTGTACTGCAGGAGTCTCAAAACGGGTGGCCTGTAAGCTTTCTCTAGCCCACAGATGTACATAACATGCCCCACACATCATTAAAAACATTGCAGCACTATTTACAATAGACAGGACACAGAGACAACCTAAGTGTCCATCAACAGAGGAATGGGTAAAGAAGATGTGGTGCCTATATACAGCGGAATATTACTCAGCCATAGAAAGGAATGGATTTGAGTCACTGCCGACGTGGGTGGACACAGAGTCTGCCTTACAGAGTGAAGTAAGTCAGAAAGAGGAAAACAAATATTGTATATTAACATGTGTATGAAGAATCTAGAAAAAACGGTACAGATGAACCTAGTTGCAGGGCAGGAATGGAGACTCAGACATAGATAGCAGACATGCGGGACAGGGAGGCTGGGCTATTGGGTCTGACATAAATACACTCTCCTGTGTGAAACAGCTAGTGGGAGCCTGCCATGTGTAAGGCACGGGGCTCAGCTTGGTGCTCTGTGATGACTTACAAGGTGTGATGGGGGCTGGGTAGGAGGGAGGATCAAGAGGGAGAGGATATACGTGTACATACAGCTGATTCAATCCACTGTGGAGCAGAAACTAGCCCACCGTTGAAAAGCGACTATACTCAGTAAAACGTTTAAATTAAAAAAACAACAACACTTTTTAAAAGTCAGTCTCTGACACTGTAAAGATAGGAGATTTTGTCTTTAAAGACCTATACTTCTACGGGTACCAGGTGAGAAAGCAGAGCAGGGTGGAGAGGGATAAACTGAGAGGTGGGGTTCACATATACACACCATTATGTATAAAACAGGTAATTTATAAGGACCTACCATAAAGCACAGGAAACGCCTCAGTACTCTGCAATGACCTACATGGGAAAACAAATCTAAAGGGAGTGGGTATAGGTATATCTGCAGAGAAACGAACACAACATTGAAAAGAGAGAAAGAAACGCGCTAAGTCATGTCTGGTACTTGTGACCCCATGAACTGTAGCCTGCGAGGCTCCTCTATCCATGGCATGCTCCAGGCAAGAATAATGGAGTGGGTTGCTATTTCCTTCTCCAGGAGAACTTCCCAACCCAGGAATTGAACCCAAGTCTCCTACATTGCTTTACTGACTGAGCTACATGGGAAGTCCTTGAAAATAAACTATACTCCAATAATACTCGTAGGATGAAATTTAATATTTTTAAATTTTATTGAAAATCAGCTTACTCAAATACATTTTTTTTTCTTTAAATTTCTGCCTTCAGTTCAGTTTAGTTCAGTTCAGTTGCTCAGTTGTGCCTAACTCTTTGTGACCCAATGGACTGCAGGGGTCATGATGCCAGGCTTCCCTGTCCATCACTAACTCCCGAAGCTTGCCCAAACTCATATCCATCGAGTTGGTGATGCCACCCAACCATCTCAACCTCTGTCGTCTCCTTTTCCTCCCACCTTCAATCTTTCCCAGCATCAGGGTCTTTTTCAGTGAGTCAGTTCTTCTCAGGTGGCCAAAGATTTGGAGTTTCACCTTCAGCATCAGTCCTTCCAATGAACACCCAGGACTGATCTCCTTTAGGATTGATTGGTTTGATCTCCTTGCAGTCCAATGAACTCTCAAGAGTCTTCCCCAACACCACAGTTCAAAAGCATCAATTCTTCAGTGCTCAGCTTTCTTTATAGTCCAACTCTCACATCCATACATGACCACTGGAAAAACCATAGCTTCGATCAGACGTATCTTTGTTGGCAAAGTAATGTCTCTGCTTTTTAATATGCTATCTAACTTGGTCATAGCTTTTCTTCCAAGGAGCAACTGTCTTTTAATTTCATGGCTGCAGTCACCATCTGCAGTGATTTTTGAGCTCAAGAAAATACGTCTCTCACTGTTTTCATTGTTTCCCATTTATTTGCCATGAAGTAATGGGACTGGATGCCATGATCTTAGTTTTCTGAATGTGGAGTTTTAAGCCAATTTTTTTACTCTTCTCTTTCACTTTCATCAAGAGACTCTTTAGTTCTTCGCTTTTTGCCTTAAGGGTGGTATGCATATCTGAAGTTATTGATATTTCTCCCAGTAATCTTGATTCCAAGCTTGTGCTTCTTCCAGCCCAGCATTTCTCATGATGTACTCTGCATATAAGTTAAATAAGCAGGGTGACAATATACAGCCTTGACGTACACCTTTCCTGATTTGGAACCAGTCTGTTGTTCCATGTCTGGTTCTAACTATTGCTTCTTGACCTGCATACAGATTTGTCAGGAGGCAGGTGAGGTGGTTTGGTAGTCCCATCTCTTTAAGAATTTTCCACAGTTTGTTGTGATCCACACAGTCAAAGGCTTTGTTGTAGTTAATAAAGCAGAAATAGATGTTTTACTGGAACTCTCTTGCTTTTTCAATGATCCAACAGATGTTGGCAATTTGATTTTTGGTTCCTCTGCCTTTTCTAAATCCAGCTTGAACATCTAGAAGTTCATGGTTCACGTACTGTTGAAGCCTGGCTTGGAGAATTTTGAGCACTACTTTGCTAGTGTGTGAGATGAGTGCAATTGTACGATAGTTTGAACATTCTTTGGCATTGCCTTTCTTTGGGATTGAAATGAAACCTGATCTCCAGTCCTGTGGCCACTGCTGAGTTTTCCAAATTGGCTGGCATATTGAGTGCACCTCTTTCCCAGCATCATCTTTTAGGATTTGAAATAGCTCAACTGTAATTTCATCGCCTCCACTAGCAATGTTCGTAGAGATGCTTCCTAAGGCCCACTTGACTTCACATTCGAGGATGTCTGGCTCTAGGTGAGTGATCACACCATCATGGTTATCTGGGTCATTAAGATCTTTTTTGTATAGTTCTGTGTATTGTTGCCACCTCTTCTTAATATCTTCTGTTTCTGTTAGGTCCATACAATTTCTGTCCTTTATTTAGCCTATCTTTGCATGAAATGCTCCCTTGGTATCTCTAATTTTCTTGAAGAGATCTCTAGTCTTGACTTACAAAAATTAAAATACTGAGTATACAGGCAGCACATGACCATGGGGCCAGCAGGCAGGAATTGAGGAGCAGTTGACTTCCCTGTGACAGAAGACAGACTCACAAGAGCCTGTCGGCCACTGGGTGACTTGCCCAGCCCCCAGGTGTGTGGGTTCTCTAGGCCTGTGTGTGTTGTTGTATGTCGCCACCACCTTGGGCACACGTGCAGCGTGAGCGTCGCCGGCCAGGCTCTGCATCGGGGCCCCGCAGTCGCTGTGTTCTGGTCTCCTGCCCTCCACGGCAGCCTCCTCTTCTGCTCCTCAGCCGACTCTGGCCTGAGACTGTCCAGAAGCACAGCTGCAGGCAGCGGGAAACCTCGGGCCCCAGGATGAGACAGTGCTCATCGGGCTTGGCGAGGGACCGACCCCAGCCTGGGTCTGGCCCACGTGAGGCCTGCATTAGAAAACCTAAGGCTGGGACGTCCCTGGAGGTCTAGTGGTTAAGACTTCACCTTCCAGTCCAGGGTGTGGGCTCAATCCTGGTCAGGGGGCTAAGATCCCACATGCCTCGTGTTCCCAAAACCAAAACATAAAAAAACAGAAACAAAACTGTAACAAATTCAGTAAAGACTAAAAAATGGTCCACATTAAAAAAAAAATAGAAAGAAAGAAAGAGACAAGGAAGGAAAGAAAGTCTGAGAGGAAGGAAGGAAGGAAGAA